GTTGTTTTGCTTTGTTTTGTTTTTTTGAATGTCCAGAGGACCAGATTGAACTTTTTTAGATTTTTCTACCTGGATTATTGAGCATGCATCAGGATATTATATAATATAATTCACTATTTTTTGCACTATGTGGTTGTCTGTGTGTTTTTACGAGGTACTACTTCCGTCTAGAAGTCAAACCCTGACTCTTCTGATTTAACTATCTCGTTAACCAACTCAAATAAATATGTAATATATATGTTACACGGAGTACCCCCACAAGGTTCCCCGAGGGACGTGGTCAAACGCCTTCTCCAAGTCCACAAAGCACATGTAGACTGGTTGGGCAAACTCCCACACACCCTCCAGGACCCTGCTGATGGTGTAGAGCTGGGAGCAGAAATCTGAAAATGTCTTCACAGAATACCAGTGAATATGCCCAGTATGGTGGTGTTATCTCATGCTTGTGTAAAAATAGAAACTGATGATGTGTTGGCTTTGGTTGCATGTAACTTCAGTTTTTGTGTGTCTTCTTTAATTTTTTTTATTTTCAGTTTTTTCATGTAAATTGTCACAAGGCTAGAAATATATTGAAGCCATAAAAAGGACATATTTCAGTCAGAGTCAGAGTTTCTTTATTGTCATTCGCACCTCATGTGGTACATGTGGTGGAGCGAAATTATGTACACAGGGTCCCAGTTACATCCAACAATAAAATGTATAAGAAAAACAGTAATAACATCTAAGATATGAACTAAGAAAAACATCAACTAAATATACACTAAGCACTCATAACATAAAACATTGAACATCAGCACAAACATGAACATGAGTCTGTGAGCAGATGTGCACGCATGAACACATCAACATGAAACAGATCAGCAGCAACATGAAACAGATCAGCAGCGACATGAAACAGATCAGCAGCAAAGTGAACAGTTGAAGTGTAAAATTATATACAAAAACATGCACAAAGTGTATAAATTACTTCTTTAAGTACAAATAAAAGGTCAGATGAATTCATTTTACTGTTTCAAAACAATATTTCTACATTCCTGTAGTTTTTTTTTTTATCTGAGCAGGCAATAACACCACCACTTATGACTCTAAAATTTTCAGTTGTCAAAAGAAAACAATACTTTTTTCTAAAATATAATTAAAATAATAAACTTGTGACAAAACAGAGAAGCCTCTGCCCTGTGAGTGAATTAGTCCTTTGATATTTACAATGTGTTTGTCACTTGAAGTTTCAGTTTCTTTTCAATAAAAGAAACTGAATTTGATAATCAATAATCTTAACTATTAGTCCTTTTCATATTCATATTTATTTATAAAACAATGATTTGATTGCTAAAAAGAAAGCAAAATGCAGTTATTTAATTTTATCTCAAATATATATTTTTTGTAAACTGAAGACATGGTTCGAATAATCCAATATATATTTAATCTACTTGTGAAGCTCTTTGGTCAATGTTGTTTTTAAATGTGCTATAGAAATAAAATTAACATTGATATATATAATTATATCTATAATTAATAAACAAACAAAATATTTTATTTAATAAGGTTTAAAATTTTATATTTATATATCAAAACAAGTCCGTCTGTTAGGACTGAACACAGTTTAATGTGTTCTCTTTAACACAAAGAAAAACATTATTTTAACTTAAGTGTTGAGATTTTATTTGGCAGAAAACTGGTGTTTTTACTGTCAAGCTCGTCAGCTTTTTCAAATAATATAAAAACTCATAAAACTTCACTTTTTGTTTTTTAAAGAAACAAAAATGCGACAAGCTTGTGTCACATGACGCTGTAACTATTTGTATCCCTAAAATGTAAATAAACAGGACATTTTTAGTGGTTTGCATCACGTTATAATGTAGCTGTTTTTGTCTTGTTTTATATAATTTCTTCTATTTTCATGTCAGATGCTTTTATATGATTGTGTTGTCTGCAGCTCGTCTGTGTTCTTACAACAGTCTCTCTTGAAAATGAGTCCTCGTGGCTCAATGAGACTAACCTGTGGAAATAAAGGTTGAATGAAAGTTAATAAGTGTTCTCACTTGTTTCACTATCAGTTTGCTAAAAGTGAACTAATTGTAATTGTGTTGTATTAAAAGTCAGCCTCAGCAGCTCAGCGGGTGGATAAATACAAGACAATGTAAGTAAACCGCTGTAATTTCAGGATGGAACATATTTATTCACTTTCTTTAAAATTTCCGACAGTCTGTGAACATCTCATCATCATGACCCGGATGTAGTCAGTCCGCCTTTAAAAGCCAGAGGTTCTTCTTCCGTCTTCCTCTTTCCCTGCCGCAGCGATGTCTAAGAGAGGTAACGAAGTCCCGTCAAATATCCGCACTCATCTGCTGCTTGTAACACCTGCTGGTCGTTGAGATGTCATTTATTGTGGCAAAATAATAAATCTGACACGTTTCAATGATTAGTTGTAAATTTATTCGACTGATTCACGATGGGGCATTTTAGCGTTTCATTGAACCGAGGCCATGTTTGTGTGTGTCGGCTTCATGCTGGCTGGAGCAAATTAAAAGTTGTGCGGAGTGATTTGGGACAGGTTAAAACACTTAAAGTAAACCTTTCGTAAAGTGAACTTTAGTTAAAGTAGCGTCTCTGCTGTGTGGAAGAGAACGAGTTGGCTAAAGCTAGCTAACGATGCTAATCAGCCAAGTACACCTGAGGTGGGCCGGTCCTGTGGAGGAGTGATGACTTGCTGCTTCACTAATTAAATTAGTGTGTTTCATGGGACGTGTTCTGTAGATGACGACATGTTGGGTCAGATGTGTTCATGACAGGACCCGGTTGGGTTCTGCAGCATCGGTTCTCAGCTCGTCTGGTGTAGGTGGACCAGTGGACCACATGCAAGACTAGGTCTGTTTGGACCAGTGGACCACATGCAAGACTAGGTCTGTTTGGACCAGTGGACCACATGCAAGACTAGGTTTGTTTTAATTGAACTAGTTCTGTCCATGTGGTGCATGCATGCTGCAACCACTGGCTTAAAGCTACATCTGTAGTTGGCACCTTTCCACATCCACGAAGCTAATCTGAATATTCTGTAGAGATTAGTCGAGCTTTAGATGTCATTTAGACTTGGAGACAGTGAGCGTCCAGTGTCGCGCCCAGACTCGAGTCGTGTTGCTGTGTACTGGTGGAATCAAACCTCTGACTCTGTGACAGCGGCTCTAACCACCACAGCTGCCCATTAACAGGACTGATTGAACCAGTCTGATGGCAAGTTAAGTTTCCATACAGGGCCAGAGTTGGAGTCATCTGTCAAATGTTTTCTTCTTCCAGGACGTGGTGGTTCGTCTGGAGCAAAGTTCCGCATTTCACTGGGTCTCCCCGTGGGGGCGGTCATCAACTGTGCCGACAACACAGGTACGTACGCCTTGGTACTGAACGTCCAGAACCTGTGGCCTATGCTCATGTTTGGTGTGCTGCCACCAGATCCTGCTGCACTCGGTAAAGTACAAACAGCAGGCGTGCAGACAAAAATCTCTTTTTTTAAAGAATCTAGATTCTCAGTCTAAGCGATTCTGAATTGATTCTAAAGGCCCATAAAGATTTTAAAATGTTTTTATTTTTTCCACTCCTACACCCGAGCGTACTGCATATTGCATTATGTGTCCGCTGGGCCACCGTAGAATTGAGCCGTGTAGGCCACCGTACAACAAGCTAGTTATCCAGCTCCCTTTATCTGAATGGAGCCTGTTAGCATGGAGGAGGGGGACGGCACGATTCATCCCGCTGCTTCGTCTTTAAAAATCATTTCAGATCCTACAATGTTCCGGTGGAAGACTGCGCTTAACAAGAGCACGGTTGTTTACAAGAAGTGTAAAATAAAATTGTACAGTATTTTGGAAATGCAACAAAATGTGCAGAAGATGAAAGCAAAGCAGCCGACCAGTGAACTCTGCAACAAACTTCCAGCTGATTCTCCAAAGTCTGAAGAGTTCCCTCCATCTCCTGCTGCATCACAAAGATTTATGATCAGACAGCTCAGTGAAGGTGAGGGGGGGGTTAGGTTTATTGTTAATACGCTGGACCCAAAGTAAGTTATTCCTTCATGTAGATTTTAATTTGTTTGCGATAAAGCAGCTCCACGTCACCATGAAACGACGAATGGGAGCAGCTCTGATGCACATCAAAGGTAACTGTTATTTCTTATACTAAAACTTAGACAAGTTATACAACAAACTTAATGTAATTTGTCTTTTTAACAGGTAGAAGAGGACAGATGAGACACATCACCTGGAGCCAGTTCTAAATGATTCAGTTTACGGTTTATAAATTATAGTTCAGAAGAGATTAGTCAGGTTTGCACAGGTTTTGAAATTTTGTTAAATATTTACTAAATATGAATCAATATGGTTAAGACTGAAGTCTGTATATTATTTTGAGTTAAAGGTTAATCTACTGGTAGGTTGAAGTCTGTTTACTTTTGTATTTATATATTTTGAATTATTTGTCTGTGATGGACTGGAGACCTGTCCAGGTGTCCCCACCTCTCCCATAGTGATGGCTGATATGGGCACCAGTGACCCCCATGAGCCGTAAAGGATGAAGTGGGTGAAGATGATGGATGAATGAATTATTTGTTCTTAGATTTTTAATTTATTATTGTTATTGTTTTTGTTTTACTTTTTTAAATCTGCTAAGCTAACGTAATACTGGTAGTTAAAGTTACAGAATGTTGTGCTCACCTATAGTTGTTCCTATTTTTGGTATAAATATAAACTGATGTAAAAAAGATTTGATACAGTAAAGAACGTAAAAGTGTTGTTTTAAATAAATGTATTTGTTTACATTGTTGTTTATTCTTTTCAGCTTGTCGGTTACATAATTGAAACAAAATTTATAAACATTTCAATATAAAAATTGTTTCTGAATCAAAAAATCTATTTTGAATCGTGACACCAAAAATCTAATGGGCAGACACAAAGATTCGCACTGACGTGATCTTCTGTTCAACTGTTCTCACCGGACTTTCCACGTCTTGTTCTCCTCAACGCTAACTCCAAACAGTAGCATTTTTCTTGAGTCTGGGATTCAGGGTAGATCATGGACCCGAGCTCTGCTGATGAGCTGCTTTTTGGACCCGCAGGTGCCAAGAACCTGTACATAATCTCTGTGAAGGGCATCAAGGGTCGCCTGAACCGCCTGCCAGCTGCAGGAGTGGGGGACATGGTCATGGCCACGGTCAAAAAAGGCAAACCAGAGCTCCGGAAGAAGGGTGAGTACAAAACTGAACTGAGAAGCAAATACCTCGTAACTCTGAACCACTCGTTGTTATTGGGTTCCTTCTAGTTATTGTAGAGTCTTAAGTCCTTATTCAGTGACGGTTCTGAAACGTGGAATTTGGCATTTTGGTCCGAGTGGATGTGTGAAGTTAGTTTTGTTTTGTCAGCAAAGGAAAAATTTGGAAGACAGTGGTGAGACCAGCTCTGTTGTCTGGTCTGGAGACGGAGACATGGACAAAAAGACAGGAGACAGAACTGGAAGAGTCAGAAATGAAGATGTTGAGGTTCTCCTTAGGAGAGACAAGGATGGAGAAGATCAGGAATGAGATGATCAGAGGTACAGCACAGGTTGAACACCTGGGAGGTAAAGTTAGAGAGGACATACTGAGATGTTTGGACATGTCCAGAGGAGGGACAGTGGTTTGGACATGTCCAGAGGAGGGACAGTGGGTATATTGGTAGAAGGGTGTTAGGAATGCAGCTGCAGGAAAAAGACGAGGAGATACATGGATGCAGTTATGCCACTTTTGCACGGCTCCTACTCCGCCCGGCTCAGATCAGCCTGACTTGCGCCACGCTTCAGGACCAGTTCTGGAGGCGTGTCCAGAATCCTGCTAATGAACTTTATTTCATCGAGTGAGAGTTCTGCAGTGAGTTGAACTCAAAGCAGTCTGCTCCTCAGATAATGTTAAATTATTATTTTATATATGAACGTTTCTGTTCAGTGCACTGAGACGACTTCTGTTGTGACTTGGCGTTATATAAATAAACTGAATTAAATCTGATGAAGCAGATTCTACAAAAACATTTGTATTTAAAATTCTGTATTTTTCTTCATCATTTGATGTATTTGCACTCATTTTTCATATGTGGTTTTGTTTCTTGTGTACTGATTTTATTTTAGTGATTTTAAGTGTAATTCTTGTTTTGTGATTTGTTCATCTGTGGGTTAGAATAAAGTTTAACCAAAGTCTCTTCTTTAAACATGTTGGTAGAAATATTCCTGAGATCCAGTAATTTTCTTTTCATGATTTTTCAGCAGTTAACTTTAATTAGCAGATTATTTAATAAAGTCAAAGCAAACACAAGATTTAATGATAAAGCTGGCACCGTTTATTTATTTTTATTCTTCACCGATTAAAAAAAAAAACATTATTCTTTATACACAAAGTTTGTTTTCTCAGTCATCCAGGTATATAACAACAAAAAAGGTTGAATCATGTCATCTGGACTTCGTTTTTTTGATAAAAAGAAACATTTCGCCCCTCATCCAAGAGGCTTCGTCAGTCTGAGGCCTAGCCATCTGGTATTACCCAGAAGCCACCCTGACTCTTGTGTTTCAAGCGAAACGTTTCTTTTTAACAAAAAAACGAAGTCCAGATGACATGATTCAACCTTTTTTGTTGTTATATACCAGGATGACTGAGAAAACAAACTTTGTGTTTTTGAAACCATTAGTGAAAAGGCCAGACTTCAGGGGTATCTGAGGCAGGCTTGAAACACAAGAGTCAGGGTGGCTTCTGGGTAATACCAGATGGCTAGGCCTCAGACTGACGAAGCCTCTTGGATGAGGGGCGAAACGTTTCTTTTTAACAAAAAAACGAAGTCCAGATGACATGATTCAACCTTTTTTGTTATTATTCTTTATACATAAAATGTAAAAAAAAAAAAAAAAGTTTCCCAGACTCCCGGTCCTCCGCCTGCCAGGGCTCGAATCCGGCCTTTGTGAGCACGCGAGGCCGGGGCTCGGGGTCCGACCTGTGGAAGCACGCGAGGCCGGGGCTCGGGGTCCGGCCTCGCGTGCTTCCACAGGTCGGCAGCTCGTATGATCCTCCGCGGTGACTCCGCTCGCTCCAATGTTGTCGTTGATCACCAAACACAAACGCCTGGACTTCAGCATTAAACACGGTGGTGTCATTATTGTTTTTAAAATCTTAAAAATAGATCCAGCTGCTGCTCCACGTTCCAAGAATATGCAAATGGCAGATCGGTGAAAAGTGTCTGAGATCCAGTGACTCCTCCCCCTGACCAATCAGAGTCCTGCATTCACGGTTCTGTCCAAACTCAGCTCACATGGTCCCACCAGAGAAGCAGGGACAAAAACAGGTCCAGAATCAGCTAAAAAGTACTGTGGAATGGCGATTTTTCCATGGAGGGCTGAGAACATTCAGGGGCTGAGCAGGAGCAGTGCAAAAGAAGCATCAGAGGTCACAGCAGCTCCGTTCTGGCGTAGATCAACTGCGAGATTAAAAATCTATTCCATGAGTCGTAGCTCAGAAAGCAGTGTCCACCGCATGTTGGTAGAAATATGTCGTCTGTTGCACGTGTGCATGTGGTTGAACACAAAGCCTCAGTGGGAGAGGTTTACATGATCAGTGGGCGGGCAGCCACAAAGCTCCACTCAGAGGTGGGGGGTCACTGGTGTTGTGTAAATGATCAGCAGAGGGACAGGATTCACTCCAGACTCACCGTGTAAACGGCTCCTGATGAGACTGAGCTGAACACACTGCTCAGACTGAAGAAGTCTCTTGGATGAAAGACGAAACGTTTCTACATTTTGTTGAATCTGTCCAGAGGACCAGACTTCACTTAGATTTGTGTACCTGGATTATTGAGCCTCAGGATACTTGTACTACTATTCCTACTAGTTGGTTTGTACTTGTCACGGGCGTTGGGGTTCAGGTCACCCGTGATAATCGAGGGACTACTGTACTCCACATGAGCAGATGGTCAGCAGCAGTAATGTTTTCCAGGATCGTCGGTACTTGAAGACCACGAAGGTTTGAACAGATTCTTTTTCCCACATTGGCTTCTTTGTGTACAGGGTCCTTTGCATTTTTTTTGTGTTTTAGTACAAAGTTGCCTCCGATGTTCAAACTAAATTTACAAAACAATTTTACTTGGGCACAAAAACGGTCCCAACATTGAGTGGGAAAGTGTAATGAAGAGCTGCTGTGGGACCCTGGTGGTGGCCTGAGCACGAACGTCTCTTCATTTCAATGTCGGTGCCGTCAGTTTGGTCGGCAGCCACTCGAGGTGATGAACGTTCCACGTGCAGTTTCAAGTCTCAGAGCTGAGGAGCAAACTGGTTTTGGAGGACCAGCCTGTTTGGGTTTTGTTCCTACAAGAAGTGTGAATGCTCTGGCAGAAGTCTGGATCCCTGGAAGTTGATCTCTAACGTTCGTTCCTCTCCACAGTTCATCCTGCAGTGGTCATACGGCAGCGGAAGTCGTACCGGCGAAAAGATGGCGTGTTTCTCTACTTTGAGGACAATGCAGGCGTCATAGTGAACAACAAAGGAGAGATGAAAGGTTGGCTTTATTTTTAATTCAAACTGTAACGTCTTGATTGAATCGTCAGTCTTCCAAACGCTGCTGGTAAGTGTCCCTTCTAAAAGCACTCGCCTCGTCTGTTCTGTGGCTCGGCGAGTTGTCGTCGAAGGGAATATGGACTTCATCACTGTGGGTGAGACGGCAGTGAATCTGTGACTGACTGATCTCAATCAGGGATGAGACACTGAAGCATGTTGCCTGTTTAGTTCCTCCTGCAGACGTGAACCCCTGCAGTAACATCTGTATCTGTTCTGCAGGTTCAGCCATCACAGGCCCCGTAGCTAAAGAATGTGCTGACCTGTGGCCCAGGATCGCCTCCAACGCTGGCAGCATAGCCTGAGTGATCTGTGTTTTTCAATAAAAGTCTTCAACCACACGTCCTCTGGCTTCACTTCATCTGCACAGACATTGGGGGGGGGGGGGGGGGTAAAGTGTTCACTAGTGAACAAAAGCAGCATTTCTCCTGGATTTACTTTAATTCCACACATTTAAAACATGATTCTCACCAAGTTTGTGTAAATTCATCTGTGGGTTTTAGAGACATTTGAACTTTAATACACTTTAATCCAGAGCGTCAGGTCGACACTATTTGTCTTTATAGAGAAATAAAAGTCAGCACTGGACATTTTTACTTGTGTTCAACACGACTCATCTAAATGATATCCTGATGCAAAAAGACTGGTTCATCCCAAAGATCCAGTCCCCCGGCACAAACAGAGTAATGTGTATGTTGTTCAGTGTCAGGAGGGTGATCAGTCTTACATCGGGGAAACAAAACAGCCACTGGCCAAAAGGATGGACCAGCACAGAAGATCAACATCATCAGGCCAGGACTCTGCGGTCTACACTCATCTCCAGGCCAGAGGTCACTCTTTCAGGGATGAAGATGTTCACATCCTTGATAGAGAGGAACGATGGTTTGAGAGAGGAGTAAAGGAGGCCATCTTTGTGAAAAGAAATCGTCCATCATTAAACAGGGGCGGAGCCTCCAGGTTCAACTGTCCCCCTCTTACAATGCTGTGATTGCTAGTATCACTCAGCCCTCTGTGAACAGTAAACAGCCATCAGGTGCTAATGATCCATTGTTAGGCTGATGGTCCTTGAGCATGTGATCAGCTGGTTCTGGTTGTCAGCAGCAAACTGGTTGATCCACTCTGAGAAGGTGCTATTTAAGAGACTGAGCTGAATACAGCACCTCAGACTGAGGAAGTCTCTCGGATGAAAGACGAAACGTTTCTACATTTTTTTTTTGTTTTTTTGAATGTCCAGAGGACCAGATTGAATTTTTTTAGATCCTCTAAATGATGTGTATCAGCTGCAGCTCAGTCAGGGAGTGCAGCAACGTGTCCGCTCATTAAAACCTGGCGCGGGTCCGGTAGGTGCTCATCCTGGAACTAGAACTGTTTTTTGAGAGTTCACCACTGTGCATGTCAGTACTTCTGTTCAGAATAAAGGGCCGCTGCATGTAAACGCTCGTGATCAGATTGGGCCATGTAAACGATACATTTGAATTATTTAATTTGAAAACATTTCAGTCTGGTCAAAGAATGTTGCGCATGTAAACAGCTGAACATGCAGGTGGAGCACAAAGTTAAATAATGTCATCTGGACCAGTTTGACGGAGAAATGTTTCGTCTTCTACCTAGAAGACTTCATCACTCTGCGGCCTGTCAACCACATCTGGCACAGTCTTGGGGATGGAAGACAAAATGGTGCTCTCAAACAAACTGGTCCAGATGACATGATTTAGGGTGTTCACACCTGATGGTATCAGACTCGGTTCGATAGAGGATCAAATTTGAGTACATTTGTTTACATTTCAACGGTTTGCATTCACACTGAGCTGAGCCAACCTGTTCACCCCCTCATGAGATGGTGCTGCACCAACAACTACGAAGGAAACAACTGAAGAAGACACTTCTTCTGTAAATAAAACCATTTAATGGTTTTAGGATTTCTGTTTGAAACAAGGGTGTCAGAAGCACCCGTAATGTGGGGGGGACACAATGATGTGTGTGGGTGTGCGCACAAAGAAGTGTTCACTAATGTACAAAAAAAGCAACATTTCTCCTGGATTTCCTTTAATTCCACACATTAAAATCATGTTTCTCACCAAGTTTGTGTAAATTCAGCTGTGGGTTTTAAAGTAATTTTAACTTTAATACACTTTAACACAGAGCGTCAGGTCGACACTATTTGTCTTTATAGAGAAATAAAAATCATCACCACTGGACATTTGTACTTGTGTTCAACACTCATCTAAATGATGTTTGTCATGAAGCTTGAGGACAATAAAGTGGGGGTTTAAAGACATTTCAACTTTAATGCACCTGAACACACCACGTCTCTCACACCTGCAGCGTCTCACAGCGTCACAGTTACTGCTGAGAGAACATGCTACAGACGTAGCGCTGCACTCGAGCATCCTCCTAACGTGAAGATATGTTGATGATCAACCCCCTGGTCAACAAATGCCCACACTAAGCTGCTAAACTGGCGAGTGAGCAACACAGAAGTGTCTCCATCTCCTCCACCTGTGTGCGTTTTCTACTGAAGCAGGAGACTCAGCAGCTGCACAGTTTCTGCTGTGTTAGAGTTGGAGGTAACCTGGAAAACCTGGAGTGGAGTTTTATTAGACTGAGAATTCTCCTATTAATCAAGTGGAATGGATTTGTTCACGAAGAAAGAGAAACTGCGCTGCCTGAACTAATGTTTCATAGTAAAAGTGGGGGGGTCCAAATGAACGTTTTTTAATGTGGGGGGGGACTTGTCCCCTTCACATATAATGGTTGCAACGCCTGTGGTTTGAAATGTGCGTTTGTTTGCCCTGCGCTGTAGTCCACTTCCTGCTTTTGAAGCGGTGCATTCTAGAGTTTACTTCAACCGGACGGAGACCTAGGTATTTAGGTGGACCAGAATGAACTTTTTTGGTTCACATCAGTTTGCACATTCACACCTCCCCAAATGAACCGTACTTTCTAGGCAAGCGAACTAGAGTGTGATTGAAGTGGACTAAAAGGGCTGGTGCGAACGCACCCTTAACTTTTTTTGTTGTGACCCAGTACCAATTGATCCACAACCTGGTACTGGTCGGTGGCCCAATAATTGGGTACCTTTGGCCACCGGAACCCATCAAAGTAAGGTGCAGGGGTTTTTAGGGTCTTGAAACATGGGGGGCTTTAGCCCAGACCCCTTTTTCATCCTCTTCCTTATTAAAAACGTGCCCCTTCTAGTCTGTATTTATCAATTTTTCAGACTACTATTATTATATTTTGTTTAGTCACAACTAATTTCAGTCAGCAGTGGAAAATAATATTTATAATCCAGGCTGGGAATGTGGTGCCATCCCAGGCCACCACCACCCGATTAACACAAACCACCAAGACTGAGTAAAAATGAGTGCACTTTGACCCCACGTGTGTACTTGTCTAGCAACGTGGTGACCACTGGTGTCAGAAGCATTTGTAATGTGGGGAGGGGGAACATACTCGTGGGGGGTCTGGGGGTCCTCCCCTAGAAAATTTTGAATGAAGTAGATGCCATTTCCTGCATTCTGGTGTATTTTAACAGGTTGTTGAACATCTAGTTTTACCTACACAAGTAACACTTGATTCAATAAGTTCTCGACCTCTCTAAGAGACTTTAAACACCTGCTAAGTTCATGGCAAAAATCAATGCAGACATGTTCCTGTTTTTAGTATTTTATATCGCTTTATAATGTAGCTGATTTTATTTTGTTTTTTAATATAATTTATTCCATTTACTTCTCATTTTACCGGTATATGCTTTTTATGATTGTCTACTGTTGTCATCTGTGTTCTCTGTTTAAAACGGGTCTCACGACTACCGGAAGTAGCGTCTCCTGGTGCTGGGTCACTTCCTGTTATTGCGAGTCTATGCCAGTGCCAGGCTTTTCTTTCGCTGATGTGGAGGAAATCACAGCGGTGAATTCTTGAACCAATAAACTTGAGAAAGGATAAAAGTTCTTCCATGAAGAAAATATCCACAGCTATCAAGGTAAGAAAAGACGTAGCTTAGCGAGCTAACCGTTAGCTACAACATATGAAGTACATAAACATCGTAATAAAGCCTAATTTAGTGTGCTAAATTATTTGGAGTATTTGAGACAGACGTGGTATAAACTTTTAACTGATAATTTAACATTCTGATATGTGTTTGTTATTACAGTTTGTGAAAGAAAACGTACTAGATGTTAGTTATGAGATGCTATGATGCTTGAAGTTCAAATTGTGCTTCTGCATAACTGCAGGTCAAAGATTGTCGAGGGACAGGGAGTTGTCAGAGCTAGACGCTTTATTTATGACAGCTGAAGAACTTTGACGTACGATGGACAACTTCTGTACCGAGAGCTCACAGTAACATCTTCCTGCTCACTGGTTACTGTCTGTGGAAGCAGCATAGTCTGTTTTGTTCTGCTGCTGTTTCAGCTCATCTTCAAACTACAATCTGTTACTTGTTTAAAGCTAAATATGTTACAACAAGTATTATATGTATGTGCTAAAAACAGTTATCTGTTTTAGATCTCACTGGGTGACAGCAGGAGAAAAACTACGTCAGCTGGAGTCCCAACCACTTATCGCTCGTCCTAGATGGTCTCTAAACTTTGGAGCTGGTACCATCCAGATGTGGTCCTGTGCCACAGGGCTCAGATGTTTTACCAGTGCCCACCTGAGAAGTCCTGCGTAGCATCATTCTGCTCCACATGGCTCCACACTTCCTGCTCTTCCTCCGATGCTGCAGTCTTCCCAACATGTGTTTTGTGTCCACACTTCACATCTTCAGTCTCTGCAAGTGTCACTGGAAACGTCTTCTCAGAGGCCAGAACCAGGAGCAGTCCAGATGTTCTGCAGGGGTGCAGCTTCTACAACCAAGGCTTACTGCTGTTTCCATGTTGCAGAAGAAGTGTGGAGTCTGCTGACGTGTTTTACTTCAACACCTTCATCCATGTGTTTATATCAACGCAGTCAGAATCATAAAATGTACAAATCACACTTTTGTTCCTTCATATTTTTAATATTCAGTCTCAAGCTGTGAATCACTGTAAATACTGTAAATAGTTGTTTCTCATGAAAAATACATAAATGTGCCAATTTATTTAAAATAGCATAATTTTGGGGAAAATATCTATAATCCACAATCATTTTGTAGTGTACAGTTATAAAATGCTAAATAGTTAAGTTTTTGTTGTTTTTACTAGATATTGTAAATTGCACTTGTTTTCCTTTCAATAAAACTGAATCAATCCACAAATTAAATAAAAACAGTACAGTTTGCTGCTCAAGTGTGTTTTAATTGAAGAATGATTAAAATAATTCAAAAGCTTTAAATAACTAATTACATAACAGTAGAACAATA